CCCCTTGGGGGGGGGGGGGGGCAGGGAGTGGGCTGCCAGTGGGCCAAACAGTCCAAACTGCACGGGGGCCTCCCAGGTGGCACCCACCCACTGACACCCAGCCCGTGTGGTCCCAGGGGGTGCCACAGCCATGGAGGGAAGCACCAGACCCCCGCACAGCTCAGACAGGCAGGCAGGCTCTGGGGAGAATGAAAGAAAAAAGATCAGGCTCACCATTTTTTTTTTCTTCAGCAAAGCCAGCCTACAGAGGCTGCTGCCAATTCCCACAACCCCTGAGCTCTGCAAGGCCCACCAAGTCCTGAGCATGTCGACTTCCAGCACCCTGTGCACTGTTGCACTTTGTTAGGTAGCAAACTAAAACACCTTGAAGGTGTTTTATCTTGCTATGTACCAAAGTCATTTAAAGCGAAAAATGCTGCTGAGCACGCAAACAACGTCATTAAAATGGAATATGCCGCTGAACCTGCAAACAGCAACACTGTTAAAGTGGTGCAAAGAGGCATTTAAGCCACTTTAAAGGCCAATTTTATGGTGTGTACAAAGGCCCTTAGAGACTAACTGGTTCAGAGAAACATTAGGACAGGGGCAGGCAATTATTTCCAGTGCAGGGCCGCTTACTGAGTTTTGACAAGCCCATCAAGGGCCATATGACAGGCAACCAGAGGCAGATAAATATTCATTTTCTAAATTTTTCAGGGACCCTGTGGGCCAGATAGAATGGCCTGGTAGGCTGCATCTGGCCCACGGGCTGCATTTTACCCACCCCTGCATTAGGATGTCACCTATGAACGCTTGTACTTATCTGAACCAGTTAGTTTCTAAGGTGCCACTCCACTCTTCCTTATATCCTGGTCAAGGGCAGGAGCATTTTCAAAGATGAACAAGTTGGGGCAAAGCTGTAAAACTAGCATCTAGGCATGCACAGTAACATTATATAAGTTATAAAGGAAACACTTGTCTTTCAAAAGGAATATGGGCATGTTCCAGTGAAAAGTTTGTATTTGAGAAAGCACATTTCATACTAAGTAGCAGTTTAGCCTTAGGAGACAATGCCATAAAGACAAAAGACAAGCAAGAAACTGAAACAGTTCCTTTACAATGGGGAGAAATAGGAATAATAAAGGCAAGGATAAAAGCACCTTTTTCTAATACTAACTCAAAGATCTGAAATGGAAGAAAGTGAGTGAGTACCTCAGGTATTTCCCAGCAGCTCTTCTGGTAAGAATCAGTATAAGAATAGGTACTCAGACACCTTAGAGAGGAGCATGGTGCGAGAGCCTAGGTGGGAAGGCAGGTACACAGGGGAAGGTGACTCTCACATGAGACATTCTCATGCCTTCCTGCCCATCCCATCTTTAATCATCCTTCAGCAGACAATTCTATTTTCTCTCTAAATGAGCTGGGAAACTCTCACGGTTCTATTGATTTATTGCTCCTCTAGAGATTTATCACAATTAAATGCTCCACTGATTCTACTGAAGCTCCCTCTGATTTGATTTGATTTGATTTGATTTGATTTTTCTCTGCACGAGGCCCTCCCTCAGGATAATCATACTACTTTCTCACAGCAGTTAGAGCCCAATGTAAAGGTAGGCCTAGAGCATGGGTGTCAAAACTCAGACCCCTGATGGATCCTTCTCCTCCCCAAGAATGCCAGATTCAGAGCCCACTCCAGCCAGTCTGCATACAATGCAGCTCCTAGGGCAGCTGGAACAGGTGCCATGTGCAGCGCAGTCCAGTTGGGAGCATGTAGAACAGATTCTGAACCAGCTGGAGTAGGCACCAGACTACATGTAGCACCCACTCCAGGATGCACACTGTACACAGCATCTGCTCTGGGAACCGTACTGCAGGCGGCACTCATTCCAGTTAGCCAGGACCTGCAATGCATGGTGTGCTTAGGCGCTGCATGCAGCATCGGTCCTAGATTTGCTGGAGTAGGCATTGCATGCATCTCAGCACTGCAGCAGCTGGGCTGGGCACTGTGTAGTGTGCATCCCAGGGCAGGTGTTGTGTGGAGCGCAGTCCAGCTGAAGTGGGTGTTATATGTAATCCAGGGCCCACTCCAACTGGTCTGGGATCAGCTACATGCCTCTAGCCAGACTGCACTGCACACAGTGCCTATTTCAGCCACTCCAGGATATACACCACACTCACCTGCCCAGGCAATCCCAAAGTAGCTGGGGCAGGCACCATATGTAGCACATATCCCAGGCTTTGCCCGTGGAGCTGATTCACTGCATGCAGTGCCCCATGTAGGTCAGTTCAGACCCAGGAGCAGCACCAGGAGATAAAGGGCAGGGCTCTGTGGGTTGGATCCAGCCTAGGGGACATGTTTGACAATTGGCCTAGAGCCTTCACGCCCTTCCCACCCCTACACACAACAACCACGTCTGCTAAAAAACTTATATTTCTCCATTCATTTTCTCTAAGTTGGGTTTGCATTGAATTACTGTGATTTCTACCCAGCATGAACACAACAGTTGCTTTTGACTATTGGGCACACACACAATGAGCTCTCTGCACTCACCAACGTGTCAGTACAGCTCCTGACAGAGTTGTGTGTGTGCCACAAGCTCTGAACTCACCAGGTGATCACTGTGGCCCAAAGTGTCTGTTTCCATGCAGCTCTGGACCCCAGAATATAAGTGCCACTGCTGCCCCTCATGCCCACTTTTCCCCTGCTGCTGAATTCAAGTGGGGTGGGGGGATGGTAGAAAAGGAGGGCAAATGGAGCCAGCTCTCAGGGTCCAATATTTAAGCTTTGGGCAAGCCAGGAAACAGTTCTCTTAAGTGACTTCAGCACAGTCATTTTGTAGCCTGTCAGTCAAACGACTGCCTAGCCTAAGAAGCAGCATAGGGTTCATAAATCCCTACCCCTACCTTTCCCTGCCTCCCTCACCTCCGCAACCTTTTACTTACTTACTTTTAAGTAAAATAGATAGTAAATAATATGCATTTATTTTCTCTTTAAAGATATTTATGAATTCTTTGAAACACCTGCAAAGCAATGAGTTCTTCTTGGATGTGGATTTGCGGAGACTTTTTGCAAATCTGGAGGAGTTAAGCCAGGTAAGAAAAAATATAAGTATCTTCTAAGCAAAAAGCAAAAGAACCACCAAAAGTACACACAGAGAACTCTCCCATACAGCCTGGTTCTTGGAGCCGATCCTAACAACTCTCTTTCTCCCTTTGGCAAATCAAGCCTGGGTAAGGTGTCATCAGTTCAAATGACTTTCAGATATGTTCACTAGTAGGCACAATTTGAATTGTGGATATAGTTTCATAGTTTCTAGGGTCAGATGGGACCTGAGCAGATCATCTAGTCCGACCCCCTGCCATGGCAGGAAAGAGTACTGGGGTCAAACAACCCTGGCAAGGTGTACATCTAGCTTCCTCTTAAAGACCCCCAGGATAGGAGCCAGCACCACTTCTCTTGGAAGTTGGTTCCAAAATGGAATATGAATATGGCTTTTGTTGATTTTTAAAAGTAATTGTGATACGGAATTTGAAATTCGTTCTTAGAGTCCTCTTTAAAGGACTGTTTTGGGCATTCCCCATTATTACAAACATTATTGCAGAACAATCAGGCCAGCAAGACCTGTACAACAGCAAGCTCCCTTTATCAAGCAAATGCATAGACACAAAGAGTGTCTGTTACATTAATCTCTCTGTGATTTTCTGGCAGGACATTCACCTCTCAAGCTATGGGTTTCCCCAGGCATAAAAGAATCTCTCACAGATGTTGAGCTGATATAGTTGACTCATATACTATTCACCCCTCAGTTTCTACGAGTGGGTGGAAAAATGAGAGCTGAGCGTGCTGTGGTCTGTTTCTCTTCAGCTGGTGGCTAGCAATCTTTGGGACCTGTTTGTGGCTGCAGAAGGTTAAAGTATTCCCTAACCTTCTCTAACTTGTGCCAGAGTCATAACCATGGGTGACTGCTGCCACCTTAGTCGTGGTGCCTAGTGTCACCTTAGCATGTGCCCCCCCCAGCCGATTGCAAGAGGAAAGGGGAAATGGCAGAAGTGGCCGTGGTGCTACATCCAGCGCTCCCACTCCCCAGCTGGACTGGGATCTTGCAGCAGTGACAGCATGGTCTAGATCCAGGGCAGAGCCATGATCTGCAGCCTGCATGCTCCAGGCAAGGACCTGCAGGCAGCAGATCATGGCTCTTCCCTGGGTCCAGACCACACTGTCACCACTGCAAGGAGCTGGAGCAGAGCCATAATCTGCTGCCTGCACATCCCTGCCCAGAGCATGCATGCTGCAGATCATGGCTCTGCCCTAGATTGGGACCATGCTGTCACCACCGCAAGATCCCAACCTTGGCTCTGGAGTAGCCCCATGCCCTACTGTGCACCCTGCCAGTGCTCCACAGAAACCCTGGCCTATCACAGCAGGGCTGCTGCTGGGGTCTCTGTGGAAACCAGCCCCAGCCGCGTGGGCAGGGGTTGCTGGGAAATGGAGTCCAGCCACTGGCCAGATTTACCATTTTGCACAAGCCAATGGGCCGAAGGGAGGGAACAGGTAAAAGGTAAAAAATAGAATAAAATAAAAATAAAAAAAATCAGCACTATGGTAACATACACACTCCACACCTTAATTTCCCCCCACACCCAAACAAGCCTTTAGTAGAGCACTCAACAAGCAGCCTACAGCTGCCCCCAAGTCTGAGTCCAGCTCATTTAGTCTGCAGTCCTGGCTGACTGAGCCAGTGAGATCTCCAGCTCCGCTGTGCACTCGTCTGTGCAGGGCTAACCAGGTCCCACCTGTACGCTGCTCTCTCTCCCCCTTACTCCAGCGTCAAGCTTCCTCTTCCTTTCTTCCCTTCCTCCCCTTGGGGGTTTCTGGGAATTAAGAGTCAGTATTCTGCTCCCTGGTTCCTCCTGCTCTTACACACATTACTTTCACATTACAGTGATACACTCAGGTCTCTCTTTATGCAAATTTGTTTTGTGCAAATTCACTTATATATGATGACCTTATTTATACCAGAAATTCATTTTGTGCAAGAAAAATCTGATCTTATGCGAAGTCGGCTGGCAATGAGCTCCCTGCAGGCTGGCAGACTTCCAGCCTGCAGGGAGCTGGGAGGAAGCGGAAGGCAGGCAGAGAGACAGGGGGTGCCATGTGCATGTACAGTACATGCGCATGGCCCCCAGTAGCCTGGAGGGCAGCTCCGGCAGGTAAGTGGAGGGAAAAGGGGAATTGAGGCCCCTGTAAGGAGGAAGCTGGGCAGGGCTGGGGCTGCTGTCCAGCCAGGTGGTGCTTGGGGTCCAGGGCCACAGCTGCAGGGCCCAAGTGGGGAGCAGGACAGAGCCTTTGGTGGCTCACTGGGGGATGGGGAAGGCCAGATCCCCACTGCGGTGCACACTTCCAGGGGAAGGGGCAGATGCACACGCACAGTGGGCCCTGGCCCTGATCTTGGGCCCAGCTTGGCTCCTCTCTCTGCCTGGTCCCAGTGCCCCATACCCCTCTACCCTGGCCACCCATATCCTGTGGTACGGGGCTGCGCCCCTTAAAAAGCAGCAGGCACAGGAGGCACATCCCCAGGGCAGTACAGGACGAGCAGCCGCCATTCTCTGCTCCCTGCCCCGGGTGCCTTCGCAGCCCAGTGGGCATGACCCGATGCAGCAGGGAGCTCCTAGCCTCTCTGCGCAGCCCCACTATTCCCAGCTGCGCTGGGTTGTGCCTACTGGGCTGGAGAGGTATCCAGGGAAGGAAAGTAGGGTAGAGCCAGGAGGGGCAAGCAGCCAGTGTTCCCTACCATCCTGCTTGCCTGCCCCGGGTGCCTCGCCAGCCCACCCCATGCTGCCCTGGCAACACACCCCCTGTGCGTGCCGATGCTTGCAGTACAGAGCTCGCAGCCTTTCCACGCAGCAGTTATTGTATTGTGTGATTACTGTTTGAATTTGTCATGGTTTGTGGTGGGGGAAGCAGTAGAGTGAGGCTGGTATACATCTCTATTAATTACATGTAATAATGGTTTCGCTTTATGCAAATTTGCTTTATGCAAGGTTTTTTTGGAACACAACCCTCACATAAAGAGAGACCGGAGTGTATGACCTTCAGAAAGACAGCTAAGAAAGGTGATCACTAAAATCAAATCTCACCTACTGAGAAAAATTTTGTCATGAGCTCTTTTCTCCTTAGTGTTACAGATTTAACATGACCATTCACATTTCATTTTTCGTTGTTTCTTCTGTTCTGTAATAAGGATTGGGAGAATTAAGTAGTTTGCATTTCTTAGTGCTTTCAGCATAATAAGCTTTGTCTCTGTTAGAAAGCAATGGTGGCTGGGGCACTGGCTTAGGAATGGGGTGACCTGTTTAGTTCCCGTGCTATGCCACCCTGCTGTGTGATCTCAGTCAAATCACTGCACCTTTCTACATCTTTGTTTCTTCTTCCACCCACTGTATTTCTTATCTATTTATCCTCTATGGTCTTCAGGACAAGGACTGTTTCTTATTGTGTTTACGCAATGCCAAGCCCAAGAGGCCTCAGTCTCAAATCTCATAGTGAGAAATGATAAAAATAATAATAGTTACCACTTCAAAACCTGTGGTGTCCAAACAGATTAGCTAAATGTCAAAAATGTATCAGATCTGTATCTTTCGCTGTCTTTGATTGGGGGGGAAAGAGGCATTGTGTACATTTTAAAGGATGAAAATATTCCAGAATTGAGTGGAATACACTCATGACTTAAGACTTCTGTACTTTTCCTGTAACTGTTTTAAAAACAGTTCTTTGCATCTAAATATAATGACTTCCATAATGGTCAAATGTGGGCGAAAACAGATACTGCACTGAAACCCTTGTCATAAATATGTGCTATTAATTATATAAAATAGCCCCTGCCAAAATGAAAGAGTAAATAGTATACCAAAAACAACCAGCCCCCACAAAATCTGTGGACTTACATACATGCTAAAAAACCCCACAATGGTTGCAGTTAAAATGCCTGTGTTTTCAAATAGTGCATAGAGAGCCAGGAGCCATTTTTCTATTCTCCATATAGGGGACTACTGTGAGCATGTGAATTCCACAACGTGGTAAATACAGGCTTCACAAAGGTAACCACTCTGTCTGCACAAAATGTGGAGGTTCAGATAGGAGACTTTTTGTCCCAACAAAAACATGTTTAAATGAACTTTGCTGCAAGAATTCCTTGCCTACCAAGGTAGTTCCTATATTCAGCTTCCTTTGCAGTTTAAAGGATTTTTTTAAACACCTTCAGTAATGCAAAATAAGGTCAAATAAAAAAAAATGAGTCTCTTTCCAGATGGAATTGAAGATTTCATTGATCATTTACAGTGCTCTGTCACATCAGATCAGCATCACCCTCATGCAAATCATTGGTTTGCTATAGTTCCTAGTGGAGAGCTGTGTCTTTTTTTAACTACTGTTTAACAGTAAGTTTAATTGGAAATGTGTAATCTAGTTACAGTATGTTTGCCAAGCAGAGCTTATAAAGATGCAAATGTATGTTTTTAATAGTTCCGTTTTAACTTCAGATCAGTTTCAGTACATAGCACATAATTCTGGTTGACTTGATAGAGTTCAGTAGAATTCAGCGCATGCACACAGGGATCCAGTAGGCATGGTCTCTATTGCAGTATGGGGGCTTTAAAAGTTAGCCGCAATGAAAATAAAGCTCGGACGATTAAATCAGACTGTTTTTCTTTCTTTAACTAGGTGAGTCTCAGTTTTGTGACAAGTTTTTTCCAAATCATTAAGGATTATATCAACAAATCTGAATCCTCCCTGGATTTCATCTCCATGCTCACAAAGGTAACAGGCTTTAAAGGAACACAATATGCTGTTCTATGTAGATTCTTATAGTACACTCCTCACCATAGTATCCCAGTGCCTGCCATTAGTGCATTAAGCAATGAAACCAACATCTGTCACGTGCTGTTGTTTGCTCAGCATCTCCCTAGGGGTAAAAGTAAGTGCAGTGGACTATCTTGCCTTGGTAGGGCTTTTTCTATTTAAAATATACATATTGAAATGCATTTATGTCAGAAAGAGAAGGTCAAAAAATGCACTTCGCAGTTGAAGCAAAAGAGACATGAAATTAGACAAGATGTCTAAGGGTGCTTACTTCTCATGGGTGAGCCTTCAGATCAGCACCTGGGAATATTCCTTCTTGCACAGATGAAATTTCTATAAAGCTTTTTCTCTATATACTCTTTCTATAAAGATCTCCTTCATGTCAGAGCAGCATAGCTGGAGGTTAGGCAGATCACTTAGAAAACAACTTTCACAGCTACATTTTATTTCTACTGAAGTAGTGTAAAACCAGAGGGGAGGTCACACCCACCACATTGTTAAACTTGTTTTAAGAGAGCTCATCCAGAACAAGCAGAGCTGCCCACTCCCTTTGCAAACTTACATGCATGTTTACCACGCCTACTGCCCTAAAACCTACCCCGATCACACTGAAATTTCTTAACTAGTCAGATTGGAGTTTCATTGCTAATGCCCATCAGATTGGACTAGTCAGATTGGACTGTCATTGCTAATGCCATCAGAAAAACTATATATAAAGAGTATGGGAGGAGTCCTGACCTAAAGTCATTTCTTCCTGTATGTTAACCATTCTGAGCCTACACACATCAAACATGCTTCTTCATTTTCCCCCGTGCCAGGTTCTCCTCCCTATATTATTTTCTCTGGATGCCTCCCTTATCAGCCCCCTATTTCCTCCCACCTGTGATCACTTTTTTTTTTGTCAAGTCATTGTACTAAATCAGTGGGAGAAAGGTTTTGCCATGCTGCTGCTCAGCAGACAGCTGAAAGCAGCTATTCCCTTCTTCTTCAGCACTTCCTACCCCCTCCAGTCCCTCTGATTTTTTGTCTTCCAGTGATGCCTACACTAGCAATTTTCAGGGATTCTTCCACCAATCTAGTCATTCCTGTGGGATTCAGTAGTGGTAGCAACAGTAGAAATAGTAATGTACACAGGAAAAGAGCATCTTACTTTGAGCTAGCTACAGCTGGAGCTACACCAGAAGACTTCCTGAAAAATGCCAAGATAGACACTATCCCAGAGGACAGGAATGTGGATATTCACATATGCCACCTGTGCAATTCCTGCATCTCTTTAGGGAGATAAAAAAAGAAAGGCAAATACGGTATTCATTGTGGCTCTCCTGCTCTTACTACCTTAGATTTCAGGCATTTTGGAGAGTAGGCTTCAGTAAGTGAAATTCTAGCTTCATGGGAGTCAAGAGTTCTGCCATTGACTTCATTGGCATTATAAGGCTCCACCTGATGCTTTTCACTGCCGTCAACATGCACAGTATGTGCATTAGAAGATCCTTAAATGTGAAGCTATATAAAACTGTTGCATAGTCTAGCATTTTTATCACCTACTTTTACATTTTATACACAAATGAAGTCAAAGAACATCACGAAAACATGTAAAATGGCAAGAGTTCTGCTAGGAAGCATTTTTCCTTAACAAATTTACCATTTGTTATACCCCCATTTTTCTTGTTTGAAGCAAAATTTGAGCACAATTTACTCCTTATCCATTTATTTCTCCCTTTGCCATGATGTCTTCCCTTTTCACTCTTGTTAAACTTCTGAACCTTTTTGTCTTGCAGTATTTCCATGGCAACCTCTGTCAAACCCACCAGATTTATTGCCTTAATTACACCTCAGCTGTCTTTTACTTGGAGAACCTGAGACAGAGAGAAGATTTTGGAATCTACCTGAAAGTAAAGTGATGGTTTTGTTGTCATTTCCCACCTCTCATTTAGAGCTTTTAGTTACCATATCCTATGAAAGTACTTTAAAATAGATTGAAAAGGGGGACTGAAAGCAATACTGTTTTAAATACTATCATACCATTTTTCCTGCAAAAATCACCACTGAGTTGATACAATACTATTTCCATTTTCCTCAATGGCAACTTCTCCTTTGCTTGAAAGGTACTGGGATTTTACCCAATATGCTCATGCAGTACCTTTTCAATATCAACTTTATCCTGATGAGCATTCAGTTTATATTGTTAATTGTGTATAGAAATATTAAGTGTTAGAATTAGCTTACACTTCGGACTCAAAATGTAATCGGCCAAAGCAGTCACTATTCTAGGATGCAAACTGTGAACTCCTATTGCCATTGAATGGTATAAAAGTAGTAGCTACACAGATAATGGCACTATTCCTATAAACTATTGCTTACCTATACAAGTAAATGGTCCACATGCCAGCCCATAAGAGTTGTAGACTCAAAACATATGGAAGCTAGAAGGGAGCTGGCCACTGCCTACGGCATTTGTCAACACCAAGAATTCAAATAGTTTTTCACATAACCACTTGAGACCATGAGTTTGTGATCTAGTAAAAGCCAATCAAAACACAAAAGAGTTAGAACAAGGGAACAAATGCCTCAAGCTATCTTCTGGAGGGTTGGAAGAGGGTATTATGGTCCTTTTGCCACAGAAGCTGTATCTGTTGAAGCCCCATCCATAATCACGATAGCTTCATTTGTTACATGCACAAGATTCAGAATAAGACCCACACTTCTTAAATTCATTCTGAGCCTGAATTCTTTTAAGAGGGGGAAGTTAAGAGGGCCTGCACGAACAGTGCCAAAATGATGCATGCAATGATGTATGGCCATGCTTTTGCATGTTTTCATGAGTCTTCAGTGCATCTCCAAAGGCATACTTTAGGTATCCAAATAGGAAGAAAGCATTCCTTTTTCTGTGACCCACTTCAGAGAGAACAAAATCCCTTGACAGTGTAGGATGTCCATAAAACAACAACTCCTTGATGTAAATGTCTTTTTTAACTTCCTGAGATACAAGAAAACGAAATATATTTCAAATCAAGTGGGAGGAAGCAAGAAGCTGGGAGGCTAACACAAAAGCACCATAATTTCATACAGCAGAAAGCCAATTATCCAGAATACTTAGTGTCATCATCAGTTCTAGATAATCAGGTTTGTTAGATAATTAAATGCCACAGTATGAAGTACTGAAAACTATACTTTAATACCAGTACTGTACAGAAAATATTTAAAACAACAAGATATGGTACTGTGTAATGCTTTAAAATCTCAAAGCACTAGTAAACAAACACAAAATTGCCTTGCCATTGAGCCAAACTCAATTGCAGGCTGATGGTTTTGATAATACAATTAATTGGCTTTCTAGCTCAATCAAGTTCCAAATACCCAACTCTCTACTATCCTTGCATTTTTTCATCCTTTGTAACTCACTGTTGCCAGTGCAGAATAGTTATCATTTATGGATTTCTGAAGTTAACTCAATAGGCCAATTCTGCTTTGAATTACACTGTATATATTTAGGGGAATCAATCTGGATTTGCACTGAATTTAGATCACGGAGAATTTAGATCACAGACTGCTTTGACTGGGGTCTTGGCAGTTTTATTATGGACAAATCACATTATATACATGCTAAATAATGACCATCCTAAAACTTCCCCTGCTTTTTATTTTGTAAAATGAGCTCACTCATATGCAAACTGTAGACCTGCAAGAAGCCCCCTTGTGGCAATCAGGAATACTGCATGTACCATAGCCTCCAGGGTTTGAAATAGCTGCAATTCCTTAATAAGAACAGGAGCTGTAGACATGCATCTAAAGGCAAAGCAAGCAAAAGCTGGAGATAAGGAATGTCTCGAAAATAAATTATATTAAGATACTTCATGGTGAACTTCAGTGGTGTAGTGAACAAAAGAATTACTTGCTACAGTAATTGTTGCAGTGTCAGAAATGGGGAACTTGGGCAAGGATTTTTGTGGGTGATATCCTTTATTGAACCAACTGCATGATCCCATAAAAGATATCAACCACAAAATTCCTTGCTTTTTGCATAATTCCTGGACTGTTGTGGCTACAACATTACTCTAACACCACCAAAATTATATATCCAGAATATATACCAGTGGGACTGATTCAGCACTTTTGAAATAAACGGAAGCCTTTCTACTGACTTTACTAGGTTCTGGATTGGGCTCTTACAGTATGAGAAGTTCATCATCCATTTTATTTCAATCAACTGCCAGTGCAGAAAATTGGTTATTAACTCTTTGCCAGAGAAAAGACCTAAGCCTTTGATCTGAAAATACACTTCCTTTGTATTCAGTAGTGGTGTGAACAACATGAACAATGCAAACGGCTACATCTGACAGAACTGCTAGTTGCTCCTTTACATCGACTGACCCGATATCCCCTCCTCCTCAACAACATCTGGAAAAGAAGTAATGACTCAACAGAGAAAGCCACCATCTGTTCTATTAAAGAAAAGGTGGAAAAGTCCATACGTAAGTAGCTAAAATGAAGTCACGTTTCTCTGAGCTACTCAGCAATGATATACATGGGACTCAACTCTATTTTTGCTGCTTAACAATGGAGATGGAGCATGAAAAATGTTCTCTCCCCTTTAAGTCCTTCCTCTTCCTTGAAATTAGCTGTCACCACATTTCCCTTGTCAAAGGTTCCCTTCCATGTGGTATTGAGATATATAAATCAGTCAGACACATGTATTTACACAGAATCTTTTGCACTGACATACAGGCAGCGGTGAGCAGCTCACAAATTGGAATGAATCAAGGAAAGTCTTAGACAAAGAGGTCTTTGAGATGGATTTGCATCTAGGAAGGATTTGGAAAGGCTAAGCCTTAAGAGAATTAATTTCCACAAACTTGGGACGTATTATGCCAATGACCTTTCCCAAATTACAGTCCTAAAATGTAAGGAGCTAGGGAGCAATCTCAGCTAAGGAAAATTTTCTGAAGCTTCTGGAGAAAATAACGGGTGGACCCAGACAGTTTAATCCTGGATTATGTTTTACATAAATAATGTTTTATTTCCGTCATTTCCTGGAATCTATTATCTTGGCTGTAAATGTCTAAAGGCTATAAAGTTCATTATAAGAGCTATCTATTATCCAGTAGCCTGATACAACTTCCATTGATGTCAGAGGATATGAATAGATAGCGAATACATCAACTTGCAAAATGCCTGGCCTACTGATCTCTGCACAGGGCTCTGAATCAGGAAGCAATTCTGGTAAGAGGCTTATCACTAGATCCAGTAAAGGACTTCTTACCTGGGTTTGGCAAGGCTTAGCCATTAAGTGCCAAGCTGCCTAGCAAAATGCATGCCCTGAATTATGTGCAATGCACAAAAGAAAGGGATCCATGAGAACCAGCATACAGGGGAGGGAGCTCCATAAAGTAACCAATACGAAACACTAAGAAGAGGGGTATATTTTAAGTTTCACCCCTCTTCAGCACTTGGGCATTCCCATATTGCACAGCGTAAAATGCCTTTCTCCAACTGGAGTGCACAGCCCTGAACCCTCCTGGAGTTAGGTATCTACACCATCCCTTTTGCATAAAACTCATGCCAGAGAAAAATCCTCCCCTCACCCCCTACCTCTTTTTCTCCAATAGTACTTAGAGCACCCACTTGGGATGTGGGAGACCACTGTTCAATTTCCTTCTCTGCTAGACAGGATTTGAACCTAAATAATTATATATTCACTGGAGCAGAATGAAAGAGAGAGGATATGCATATGACAAGCCAAACAGGTAGGGTACTCACCCACAGGGAGCAAAGGGGAGACCTGTATTCCACCTCCTGCTCCAATAACCACTTGATATCAAATATGTGAACACTGATTAGAGCAGGGGAAAAGGACCAAAGTCTCACAAGCATGTGCCCAGACATGTAGGCTACAGAGTTCTTCATGCTTTTGCTTGTATGCTCCCTCTCTTATTCAATGAACATTTAATTTTTCCATGCCAAGTGGAACAGCTTCCTCAGGAGGGATTGAGACTCCCATCCTCAAATACGCAGTCAGTAGGTATTTAATTTTAACCTTCCAGGTTGTCAAATTCCCTTAGGCAAAGGAGGCATTTGAATCTAGGTTACCCCACACCCCAGGTGGGTGCTCTGATCACTGAGCTACTAGGTAAAAGTCCTCTGCATTTCACATGCACATCTTGATCTGGTGGTAAGTATGTTATTAAAAAACCTACAGCATCAGGTCCTGCAGATGAAGTAGGTTTCCTTTGACTAGTTTATGGAATCAGATGGATTCAGTAACCTAGCTACTCAGCACTATCAGGACTGAGGCAACTGGGCATGCCCAGAAATGTAGTTTTAAGTGTTCAACAAGTTTCACTGGTGAAAAAATTAGGTGCCAAAAATCTCAGGTACTTCTAGGTTTAGACAGCAGCTAATCAAAGGTTTTGAGAATGCACATTTTGGACTTCGGTGCCTTAAAGTGGCAGGTTTGTGGAACTTAAGCACTTGAATCCTCTTATAGATCTAGTGCCTGATCTTCCTGTCTTCATGTGTAAAGTAGAGAAACCATGATTTAACTTGGTGAGATGGAACAAGGAATATCTTTACCTCCAGCATTCCCTTTCATGTTATGAATGTACAACAAAATCACTCTACATCCAAATTTAGTTGTCCTTTAAATGGCTTTGCTCATTAAGGCTCTGATCCTCCAAAGACTTCACGCATGCTCTTCTCTTTACATATGGACTAAAACATAGAATCATAGAATCATAGAAGTAGGGTCGGAAGGGACCTTGTAGAGCTTCAAGTCTGACCCCCCGCCTGGGCAGGAGAAAAGACTGGACTCAAATGAGTCCAGCCAGCTAGTCATCAAGCCTCTTCTTAAAGATCCCCACGGTAGGAGCCAGCACCACTTCCCTTGGAAGTTGGTTCCAGCTCCTAGCCGCCCTAACTGTGAAGTAGTTCTTGCGGATGTCTAATCTAAATCTACTCTCTAATAATTTGTGTCCATTGTTCCTTGTCATGCCAGGGGGCGCTAGGGGAAACAGTGTCTCCCCTAAACCCTTCTGGTCCCCCCTAGTGAATTTATAGACAGTCACCAGGTCCCCCCTCAGCCTTCTCTTGTGAAGGCTGAACAGGTTTAGGTCCCGCAGTCTTTCAATGTAGGGTCTGCCCTGTAGTCCCCAGATCATGCGGGTGGCCCTCCTCTGGACCCTTTCAATGTTGTCCACATCCCTCCTGAAATGGGGCGCACAGAACTGGACGCAGTACTCCAGCTGTGGCCTGACCAGCGTCGCATAGAGGGGGAGGATCACCTCCCTGGCTCTACTTGAGATGCACCTGTGGATGCACGACAAGGTCCGGTTAGCCCTGCCAACCGTGACCTCGCATTGTCGGCCCATGTTCATCTTGGAGTCAATAATGACTCCAAGATCCCTTTCTGCCTCCGTGCTCTCAAGTAGGGAGTTTCCCATTCTATAAGTGTGCTGCTGGTTTCTACTGCCTATGTGCAGCACCCTGCACTTGTCAGTATTAAAACGCATCCTGTTCATGTGAGCCCACTCCTGTAACCTATCCAGGTCTTATTGTAGTCTTTCCCTCCCTACTAGTGTGCTCACCTCATCCCAAATTTTGGTATCATCAGTGAATTTAAACAGGTTGCATTTCACCCCATCGTCCAAATCGCTAATAAATAACTTTCTCCAAGCAGCAGACTTCAATCTGGGCTCCAATTGTTAAGAAGTATTTGAATGTTTAAAACACAGCAAAACAAAACAAAATGAAAAATCATTTGCAGTTAAGGTTGGTACATACAATAACTGTATTTAACAGGACATGCAAACCTGTCCTGGCCCCACTGAGGTCAAAATGAGTTTTGCTACCAATATCAACAGGGCCAGGATTTCACATCATTCTTCAGCTTCCACTGGACTCACTGGTCAGCAGTCAGCGTAATGGGTTCATTATGGTGGAATATGTGAATAAATGGCATGTTATCTCTTTCAGGGGATCTTGAAGGTAAAGTAAAGTGGTTGGACAATTTTCAGAAATGCAGACAGCTGCAGGAGGTCATCATTTGGCCTCAACTTTGGGATCGTGACAAAAGGTTCTTTGTTCCAGAGGTGAGAAGTTTTTCAAGCAATATTTAAGTTATATTCTCATAGCTGTCACTTTGAAGAAAGCATGCACTTAGCATCCACATCTGCCATATCTTAGCACTGTGGTCTAAGGTTAGTTGAAGACTATTATAGAGCACTTAAGCAGATCTACTATATCCATTATTGACAGTATTATTATTGTGTTATGACAATGATGCAATAATTATTGTAGGACTGTCATCTCTAGAGTCCCCAGTCATGATCCCCAAAGTAGTGGGTGCTGGGTAAATACTTGTGGAAAGAAGAGCTTACCGTTTTAGGTTCCATTCCTGTAAACACTGCATATGGTTAGTTTTCCTCATATGAGATCAGGGTGGGAAAGATGGACTCAATCAACATATTTTCCTACTGCTACTTCGACATCTTCTGCAGCAGCCTTTCATGTTCCAAAAGTTCAGGGTTGGCTATTTGGAAGGCAAAGCTAGTTCTTACCTCACTTGGTTCTGAGATTGGGAAGGCATCTGTTCCAAGTGTCCCTGGGAATTCCTTCAGGCAGGTAAATAAATATGGTAACCAAAAAATAATTTTGATAAGTACAGTTAATATGATTTCTTTGTTTCTTTTAATATAGTTTCAAAATAGAGCTGTGCAGTATTTGTCATCTTCCTCCCTCCCACAGCTGAACCAAAGAAATTCACATCAGCATTAGTAGAATATGTAAAATATGAGGTGGTTTTTTTCCATGGGAAAGTGTTCTGCTTTGTGCTGTGTAAACTCCTCACCCTTGTGGTCACCTCTTGATCTTCCCTTGATTGCAGCTGGCCTTTAAGTAGCATTATGGTAACATTGCCAAGTGGGACTCACTTTAAGGATTATTTCAATTCATGTGCAGTTCTCAACATAGAAAAGAAGATCCTAGTTTGACATTTCAAAAAACTAAACTTGCTTAATCCATAGTACTGCTGAAAAACAGGGTCATGATTTGTTGTTAGCCGATTTAGCTTGATCTCAACCTGAATAGCCTATAATACTAATATTCTTTTCAGTTCTTAAATCAAATCTGTGTGATACTCTGTTTCTTTCTTTCTTTCAAGTGTTTGAAACATATTTTGAGAGATAACCTGAGTGAAAACATCCTGTCTTCCACAAACAGGCATCTTCTTCACGAAGGGAAGTTAGCTCTAGCAGGTAAATGTTACTTAAGAGTTAGCTTTACAGAATCATACAGTATATGGTTGGTGTAAAATAAATCCATGTCCCCATATATTAACTAGACATGGGGATGAAGAAAACAAAAATGACAGTATGTCATACAAAGGAGGAGAAACAGTTAAGCTGCCAAACGAATGAGTAATCTGCATGGTTTGACTTCTTTTTCCATTTTCAAGATGAAAATGAAAAACATAATTCAGTGCAATGCTGAACAATGGGGAAAAAGTATGTCCCAAAGATAGATTTAAATGCATTCATGCATACCAATGTTGAGGTGGGCTGAAGTTCTCTGAGCCACATGTCTATGATTTAAAGTACCTAACGCTGTTTAAATTAAAGCCATTTTCTCAAATGGGTTTGTTCCTTGCTATGCCTTAAAGCTGAAAGAATAATACATAAAATGTTCATCCTAAGAAATATATTTACATTGACAGACTTCCCGTGGACCAAATGTTTCCTTCTCCTACTGGTATAACTGAAAACTTATGCTAGAGGCTATAAGAAACAAATAGACATGGGCTAGCATCCTAATTTGAGCCTGCCACCAGCTTTAATCCCTGCATCAGCCTAATACACATGCCTGAGGGAAATGCTCTAATCTTTAGGCTCAAGTATAAGATATACATATGTGTGGGAAACAGGATTTCTGGTGAGTGGCCCATATACACGGAATTTACAGTGGAAAATCTTTGGAATGACTACAAGTCTTCCCACTTTCAAAACTAAAACTCCCACCAAAGAATCAGCCATTTGTAGGTTTTCATAAGGAATACTTGCTCAAATTGACAGTACCTTATTCACAATAAAGAGATCTTGAAAAATTAGCTGCAGCCACTGTAGGAAGTGGAAGCTAATGATGAACGTGGTAAGGATAACTGACATATACAATGACCCCTGCATAGAGGTTGCAGGAAACAATTTAGTCCTGCATAATCTAGACAACACTATGATAAATATTATGACCAGGAAATCTTGTTTGTTTGCCATGGAAAACCATGGAAAAAATACAGAATCCATGTTTTTCCATGACCGACCAAAAACAAGGTGGCATTTCTGCTCTCTTATTTTTGCCGCAATTTTGCATCCTGGCCAATCAGTGGCAGGGGGGCAAAAACCATAGCAAAAATAAAAGCAGAAATGGTGCCACTCGCCATGGGACATCACTGCACTTTCAGTAGGTCACAGAAAGATGTGGATTTTTGTGGTTTTTAAATGGAAATGTTCTGCTTTTTCCCCATAGAAATCTAGGATCCCTGGTTATGACTAGCTAAGCAACAAGGTGCTACAACAGGAACTATACCAGGCTTTGGCCTTGAAACGGCTCAAGGAAGCAAGATCTCAAGCCACCTCATCTGTTTCTAGTGTCTTGCATGGCTGGCAAGATAAAATAGGTTGTCTCTGTGTACACATCCTTCTAGCAAGTGGCCAATCCATAACATATAATTATAACTTCTAGTTACTGTCATTAGTTTAAGAAGCCACAGTAAATGAATTAGTTTTTAAACCAAAACATTTCAGAATGAGCACGGATTCTGAAAGATTACTACTACCCTGACTGCAGGTGAAGGATGGGGCCATTGCATTCTGATCTTTAAGAGAGAGAGTTGAAATTTGTTTTAGGAGACCGTGTTCCCAAACAAACATTATGCAAGTGAAATCACTTAATGGCTTCAAACTTTTTGAAGTTAGATTTTGTTAAATGTTCTCTGTGTTGAGTGCTCCTATCCAAGACACAAAAAGTAACAGGAGGGGTGAGGAGACTGGGGAGGGAAGGCTGAAGAATGTAGCAGGCAAATAGTGATAGCATAGGAATTACTATGTTGCTGCCAACAGAGGAGAGAGAGACAATGGAACTAGACAGAAAAGGATGTGCACAGGACAGAGAGGAAGTGATTCTGGAAAAGATAGTAATGAGACATAGGCATGCAAGAAAATATAAAGATAGGATTTGAAACCAATGGAGGAATTCTCTTAAAGGTGGATTGAGGCACTAGCTCCAATCTGGGAGTCCAATGGAACTAAGAGACCCCAAAAACTCTAAATAATTCACAGACATGAAGATTTCTTGGGGTTCCAACCCTCTTTTAAAATATTACTTATTCTTTAAGCTATGGCATATCTACACACAGTTGGAACTGGGCCTTTATACCTGAAGACATCTAAATGTGTGCATATGAAATAACATTTCTACATCTAGATACATACATATAAAATAACAAAATAATCTATGAAAAACATGTATTAAATTATTTATCCTTACCTGCAAGCTACTGATAGAAGTTGATTCCACTCTGTTTTGTTTAGATTCTGCAGGACCTTTATAATCTCAATGTGAAAGTATGAGCTGAGGGTATCAGTTTTTGGACAACTATTTTAAGGGCCCAGCGGAATAGTAGAGCATCCCTTCTTTAAATATCTGCATTTTCCAAAGGGTTAAAATTCCCTGGTGCCCATGTGTGAATTTTTTGGTCTAGCCACTCTTTGCAGCTCTGTTCAAAGATACTCCAAATGTGATCCAAACTATTTTGCAATAAGAAACTGTCAGTCTTCCAAGCAGTTGGCACATGCCACAGATATTAGTGACTAAGGGTGCCTATTCATGTGCAGCGAGGCTGCTCTGATGCACTTTAATTACGGTGCTTCAGAGCTGTAATTACCATGCTCCAGCAGACTTCAGTGTCACATGTATCAGTGTCCCTGCACCAAAAAATGGCTGCAGGAGCGCTTGAACTAAAGCTCATTCGATGACTTTAGTTCAAGCACCCCTGCTGCCATTTTTCAGCGTGGAGATGCTGATACACGTGATGCTCTGGGAGATTTAATTAGAGCGGGTCTTGGAGGTGCTCTAATTGAAGCACCCCCACTTCAGGAGTACATGTATAAATGCCCTAAGATCACATGGATGTAGGTCTTTCAAGCATAGAGTTTATGAGAACAGAAAACAAAGGAGAAGAGTAATAGCAGGCTAGAATGAAAATCCTTTTTCTTTTTCAAAAGCACCTATAAAAACCAAATATTTCATACATGGTATCATCAAAAATACACAAGCTTTAATAAAAGGTATCTCAGAAGAAACTTAAGTCATTCCAATCTAAAAGTGAGATGCATACTCTTACACAGACCTGCTTTAGATTCAAAAGCACACATCCTTATGCTATTGTTTGGGTTTTTTATCTCTTCAGAAAGTACAAGATTCCTTGATGTCTACCTCTTCCTTTTCGATGACTTCCTGTTAATTACCAAAATGAAACGTAACAAAAAGGTAACAATGGACAGAAATGTCCGCATATACTGTATGTGTAGGGCTTTATTATTATTTTGTGTATCCTGGAGAACATTTGTTAAAATATATTGGAAGGATTATTTTTTTAAAAGTGTAAACACCAAAAGATTTCTAATAGCAAGAGAGTAAATCACGTTCCATTCCTGCATGGCAGTTTTATCATCAATATATGCTAATAAATTCTGCACGTTGTAATGGCACTGTGACATCCTGGGCACATTATTGAACACAGATACTACTACCATTCCCTAAGGGGCTGGGGAGTTATGGGCACTAAGATGCACAGTTAACAGCCTAGAGGTCACAAGTTTGAGGCCACAGCAAAAGATCTCATAGCATGGATACGTCAGATTCCAATGAATTCTGCTAAATATCTGGTCACAAGGACATGAAAAGGATAGAAGGAACATTCCCCAGGTCTTGTATTAACAGCATAGGATCCCCAAAGCCCCGCATGAAATCTACTGTTGAAATAAGACCTAGGTATTAGCAAATTTTAACCACCAAAAGACCATTAAGGCATCTCACGTCTTGGTACTTTGGAGTAAAAAAATCAGTTAAGTTCAGGACAATGCCCAAGCAGTGATGCTAGGCAATAATTCCATAGATGGATGCAGGAGATGATAGCTGAATTCAAAGTAATTTATTAACAAATTGCAGTTATTTTCTTCCATGGAAATTTTCTGAGGTGCACAGATTAGCATGGGGGGGATGCAAAGGGCCTGAGCCAAAACTGAGGAGCCCTTGATAAGGTTTGCCACTAAAGGGAGAAATTCTTTAGAAATTGCTTCTTGTATGAGGCAGCATTATGCCCCAGTGTGAGTAGAAAACCAGTTGGGTCAAATATTCCATGTCAGGTGTTTCTAAGCATGCACAACCATCCAGGAATATATCATCCAATTATTTCCTTTTCTTTTTCCAGAAATATGGGGGTTCAGATACAGGTCTGATACCTGTCTGCCCTTCCCTTACACTGGAGTTGCAATTATTCATAAAAGAAGGTGGCTTCTTCATTGTCCTAGATCAGCCCATTCCACTAGACAGATTGGTTCTAAAGAATATTGACCCTTTCCATGTAACAGGTATGTTGATGTGTGTTTTGTATATTCATGCGCTATAAACACATAGCACAAAAAGCCTCATATGTGGGTTAAACATTGGGCTAAAGGTTTTCCTTTACATATGGATCACAGGGCTCAAGCGTGTCTCCTCACGTACAGAAGCAGACTTAAAGATCATAGCAAGTTATATTTCTTTGTGTATCACACACTGTTTTGTCCAGGAGAACTAGCAATTAGGGGAACCCTTTTTTAAATAGATTTTCCATTACTTTTAAACCTTGTACAGTTGTCCCAAATCTCCTGCTCTAGAATACCAGCCTGCACAAACCTATGGGCTGTTCTCTTTATGCTCTTCAAGTTTGCACGGCTGCAGTTTAGGAGTCTGAATTCCGTAAGCTCTATATTGCTCCCTCACCTCCCTGCTGCCCTTTGATAGAGATGTTCTTAAGGCTAGGGACAGACATAACACATAAACCGGTTTAAGTGATCAGAAATTGATTTAAACCTGTAACACAACAGCTGTTCAGTGCACATAAACCAGTTTGAAAATGGCTGAAACCTATTTGAGATAAACCTGGTTGAATGTAGTATCAGACTTAACTGATTTGGATCAAACCAGTTTATGCAATGTCTGTCCCAGACCCCTTCCTGGTTTAACTTAAACCAGAGTCTCCCAGCATCCCAGAGACTTTGCAGCCCTGGGTGGGGCTATCTGCTCCACAGCAGGGCTGGCCCTGCCCCTCTGCTTCCCAGCTGGAGCTCCAGCAGAGACTACAGGCACAGCAGCATCTGCCTGGCTTCATCCTGTCACACCCTCCACCCCCTGCCCATGCAAGGATTCCTCCCCTCCCCTCTCTCACAGCATGGACATAGCCAGCATGTGGTATGCTAATTAATGCTGAGAGGGGACTGCATAAGACAGACAGGACAAAGGCAGACAGGATGCTGTCTGCTTAGAGCTTTTTGGAGCTAATCAACAGGTAGCTGGTAATGTCCATCTGTTCTTTCCTTGGAACAAGCTGTTTAAGAGGAACTTGAACTAGTGAGAAAGGTTTTTGTTTTGATGGGGTGCTAAATGCTGTGTTACTCCATGTAACTCCATGCTATGTAACTAAATGTTGGCTGCCTCGCTGGTCAGGAGCAGCAGTGGGGTGGGGGAGACCCCTCCCTAATCAGTACATCCTGCCAGGGCCTGGCCATGCCTGCACCCCCTCTGCTCAGCACTGTGGAAGAGCGAGTTTGTAATTTCACCATAGAAATTGTGATAACCTTGAAATAGATCTATCCTGATTTGCCAGCATTCAGCACTACTCAAGACAGGAAGAAAAGAAAAAGTTTAAGGGGAGAAAAAAAAGCATTTGCAGTAGCGGGGGAAAAATAAGGGCTTCTGAAACATGCTACAGACACCACCTCACTGTGCATCTCTGTAATGCATCTCCTTACCAACCCACTCAAAACCAAGCAGAATGTCACTTGACCTGTAGCCAGGGGTTAAAGGCAAGGACAGCCCTGCCTCTGTGATCTCAGGTGTGCCAGTTCAGGCATACCAGCATCTTGTTGCTTGAGAAACATCTCAGTCACAAGTAGTTTGGGATGCTTTAGCAGTACAGTTCATGCAGAAGCAGAATACGAGTAAAAGGTGCAGCAGATCCAAGAACAAGTCATTAAAATCTCATCTGTCATGCTTATACTCCCTTCTATACATCAGTACAGAAAGAACTTAGTGCCCCTTCTCCTGCTCCTGTCTCTATGCCAGCAGTCATGCTGTATGGGACCACCTCCATATCCCAGGACACGAAGTCCCTGCTTTCTTCACTTTTAGGCCATTCCTACAGGCTTACCTCTTCGATCATGCCCACAAACCCTAAGCATCCAAGAACTTCCTCTCCACCTCATTAGCATACTGGCATAAAATATTAGATCAGAAAAGCTCATATAGAAATGTCAGTTAACTTCCTTCTCTGGGACAACACAATAGTGTGAACCCAGCATCACATGGGACCATCCAGATGATAGAGCCCAGCCCCTTGCAATCTCAGGCAACCGCTTGATAAGTCCAAAATGGCCACAAGAACATTGTCCACAAGACACAAAGCACCCCTTAAGGCCCTATGAGAAATTTATGGACTTTGGCACAACATACCACAAAGGCCTTAGCAACCTCAGGGGAATAACATACTTACCTGAATCCAAGACTACTTTGATTTTAAGATGATCCCCCAATAATCAGATTCTATACATGGGAAGTTATAACAAGTAACAAGTGCATATAGCACTTGCCTTCCTTCCTGTGCCCACTGTCTTCACTCCTCCCTGCCCACCCCCCATGTCTCAACTCCCTGGCACCTGCCCCCTTCCCATCTGCTCCCCCACCCCCATTGCCTCTTCTCCCTCCCCACTGGTTACCTTAGTGGCTCCAACTCCACTCTGGCCCAGGGCACAGAGCTCATGGTCACTCCTGCCCTGGCTCTGCCATGCAACAGTAGTTGTGGCAGCAGCAGCTCTGAGCTCAGAGGCTGCAGGGTGTGGGTAGTAGGTGGCTGCTGCAGTTCTGACTCTGAACCTGGGTTTGAACCAGAGTCAGAGCTGCTTCCCCACCCCCTTGTACTCTAATCCAAGACAAGAAACTTCTGTTAAATGGGAGAAAAAAATCTTATATTGGATTTGAGTAAATATGGTAATTGTCTGTGTTTTTGTGTGCGTCTCAATTTCTGAACAATTTCTGATGCCTAATAAGTAACAGTGGAGGAGGAGGAGATCGCATGACAGATAGAGTGGCTTCTGATCGGAGCATCTTAACCATAAATAGTCTTTTCATACTAAATTCATTACGAATTCAGATTATTGCAAAGTACCTGCTCAGGCAAAAGGTGCTGACAGCTTGTAAAAATAGGTCTCATCCATAAACATATGCAGAAAGTCTCTGGTTTAAAAGGTACCTAGGGTTTGACTGACTCAGCCAGTCTCCAATACTGGTATCACAGTATAATCAGAAGGCCAAGTTAATACGCACCTTTATAGAGTAACTAAATAAGACATAGAGCACAAGGCTTTTGCGAACCTTCTGACTGACTCCAGACTAAAATGGCTAGCTGCCTCCCTCTCTGATCACAGTAGAGTGTCATCCTGCTGGCTGATCTTAAATTAAGGTATTCATTGGCAGGGTTCTGTAGTTAATATTTTAATCACAACTCAGTTACTAAATACAAATACCACTACATGGTTCCCCTCTTCTTCCTCCTCCCCCTCCCCAAATAACCCTGCTGGTTAATGAATATATGTAGCTGGAAAAAAAGCCTCCTACTCTCAATGGTCAGCAGGCCTTTTCCAACTTCAGGCAATGCTTGAAATGGTTCAAACTTAAAATATCCTCTCACTAGGTGTACTTACATGTTCATTAATGGACAGTAGTTAATGCTCATTTAATTTAGTACTTGTATAATCAAGTACTAAGTAAGTGCACAGTAACTGGAGTTACGGTGCAGTAATGCCAACAAATGCCTTTTAAATGATGCTACTGCACAGTAGGCAAATACTGCACAATACCGTATTAGCACTGTTCGTGCTGGGATGCACTGCTGCACAGTATTTTAGGCCACTGTGCTGTTAACGTCATGTGCAGATGTACCCACTGAGGCTTTATTTTCACAGCCTCAGGAAAAAAACAAAAACTACCTCCTTCATAAGCAAACTGAAGAGCATTTATCTTCACACACTGCTTAATATGGGCTATACCCATGACAGCCTTTATTATTATATATTTATACAGTAGTAACATTGTAAATCTGCAGTCCTATCCAAGGCCAACTGCATTTGGCACTACAAAAACACAGAAAAAAATGGCCCCCCAGTGTTCAAATTCCAGTCAATTTTTGTGACCCTGACTTTAAAAAAAAAGTATCAGTCCAGGATTTATAAAAATAAGAGAAAATGGATTTTTTAGTCCAAGAGTTAAACATTCATGTGAAAACAGGGATTGGTAATAATGAACATTTATTTGAAGTTTTATGGATGGACATCACTGCTGATAACTCTTGAGCATTTAATATTTTTGGAAACATTCTCAGAGGTGTATTTGTCCTGGGCTGTTGTGACTCGCCAAGGTCACTCAAATTAATCTGTTAAAAGCCTGATTTTTAAATCTAATAAGTACACCATGTCCTTCATATTACTGATGGCGAATCTGGTTTGAAAACAGCATCCAGAGAGAGAATGGGCTAATATGCCATTGGAGTAGTAAGGAAGTAGTACCCTTATCTTGGCAGAATTCTCTCTGTAGACAAGAGCTCTTTTATTATTCAATATAATTCTAGCCTGAAGCCTGCCACATATCAGTCCAATGATGAGAGGTAAAATATTACCCTCATAATGCTAAAAAGCCTTCCCCTAAAGGCAAAGCTATACTGAAATGCCAGGACTATGTACTAGAGATATAACTTAGTAGTTAAATGTAGTTGTGGAAATCCATCTTTGAAGATCTGTAAGCAGCAACATAGCTTTTCATTTGGCAGTTGCTTTCCTTTTAACATTCCACTCTGGATGTTATCTTTGCAATTCCCTATTATCTCTCTCTCAAGAAAAACTTACATGTGACTTTGAGGGATCCTGCCCTGTAGACATAGATATGCTGCTGTATTAAAAATTAATAAGCATTGCTGCCATTCATTCCTTTTCATGAATGTTACTGAGGGCCTGAGTGGCTCAGAACCTTTCATGTTTAAAAATAGTCTAGCTGTATCGATTAATGGCCACAGAACTAGGAGTCAGGAGTTCTGAGCAACGCGGCTATAACTCAGGGGCAGATCCAGGGATGGTGAAACAGCATGGTGGCAACCTTGCCTATGTGCCCCACAACCAGCGAGCTCTCATAGTTCATCTGCTCGTCAGTGCAGCAAGCAATATAAGCTCACCACTGGTGGGCACAAGCTCAGCCCATAATCCCTGCTTCCCTTTGCTCTTCCCCTCCTTCTGCCCTCCCATCCCCAAAGAGGGCAGAAGGAGGGGAAGCAGCAGGCTCCAGT